GTTCATAAGTTAAGTTTTGGCTTTAATTTGTCCGTCAACGTCTATTATCTCAACCCCTAAAAATTACGAGAATATGTAGTTTACTGAGAATGGGTTAGATCGCTGACTTGTGTGCTGGCGATTGGGTGCCTCACTCACAGTGTGGGCTCAGTCCCGGACGGGAGTCAACCCCAAAAAGTACAAGAATCTGTACTTTACTAAGAAAGTGTTATCCCAATTATGACATTTGTCTTCAAGAAAGCACAATAAACATATTCGGCTTTTGATGGGTAATAATATTACAGACATTTACGGATATTGATGACGACTTGGAGGAGCTTCGTAACGCACGTCTTCTCAATTCAGGGATTGCTAAATCAAAATTCATCTTCGGCGGGATGGTAGTTCGAGTCGGATAAGCATGTTAACTATGATCTTCTTAAGGTAGTGAATGCCGCGCATGAATGTATTAATGAGATTATCAGGTACATGGGGCCTTTTCGTCACCAGGAATACGCACAGTGGAGACTTAAATGGGGATAGGGTGTACACAATGTCATCAAACCAGACAACGTTGGTCTTTGACTGATTGTGGTGTAAAACACACATATTTACTTGTATCGGAAATTAAATGTTCATCTTAATTGTTATTCATGAACACGTAATATATTTTTAAAGAAATAAAACAGTGACATAATAACTACAACTTTATGTGAGCACGAGTAGCTCTATTGGAATGAGATGAATAAAGGTTACAAAGTTGTAAGCTTCTTCACAACCGTATACTTTGAATTGACTTTATTGGGTAATCAAAAAAGAGATCGCGTCCTAAAAAAAGCCTAAATATCATACGATTTCACTTGTCCACCATCTTGGGGGCAAGGCGAAAACATTTCAGGGCATTTGAAGCCACTGAGAATGCCCCCTGCAGGGTTGGACGAACATCCTGCGGTAACGCGGCGGAGTTGACCAGTGTGTGTGTGTGTGTGTGTGTGTGTGTGTGTGTACATGTGGGCCTGCTGGATTTTTTAGCGGCACGATAGTTCGAGTTGGATAAGCATGTTAACTATATAATCTTCTAGAGGTAGAGAATGCCGCGCATGAATGTATTATGAGATTCCTAGGTACATTGTGCCTTTTCGTCACCAGGAATACGCACAGTGGAGACTTAAATGGGGATTGGGTGGGGAGGGGGGGGGGGGGGGGGGGGGGTGGTGGTGGTTATAGATGATAGTTTTAGCAACAAGTAGGGTCATCTTGAGCGGGACGGTATACGCAGATGGATTAGCATATGAACTTTGACTCTCAAAATGAGGATCAACGATGTTCGACCTGGTAGAAGTGTAATCAAACCTCACAGCATTGGTTTTTGACTGACTGTGGCGTCAAAACAAACTCATCATTTACTTGAACTGAATGTTCATCTTGATTGTTATGGATACTCACGGAGCCGTTATCCAGTGTACAGGGTGTCATTACATAAAAAATAAAGTAATAATAGGATAACCAGAAAAACGGGGTGTAACATCCAAGCCAATAAGCTTCGCTCAGGAACACCAGAGTAAGTCAGTACAAGATTGAAAACTGCCTCATAATTATGTATGACAGGCTTGTCGGGTATTGCTACATGTATATGTGAAAACAAAGTTATTAAAATGAAGAGCAAAACTGACGAAAGTTACCAATAAACGTGTATAAGTTATATCGTCACTGCAAAAATAATGAGTGCTTGTCTTTAGTATTAACATTCAAATTCGTTATATCTGTATTAGCGATATTGTCTACGTTCCACCGGTGAGTAAGCCTTACACTTACTATTTCGTAGTATAAATATTGAAAGAAATTTGTATTTCTGAAGACATCACGATACAGTTTGGATCGGTTTGGGTGGCAGCCTTGATAGCCATAGAATAGGTTCATCTCGGAATCTCCCATTACACTGGGGCTCCTCTTCAATTTTAATTGAGTTACTTGTTTCTTTCAAAACTATACAGCTTTAGAGACTAAGCATTAGTCTGAATAGGCATCACCAGTTTGGAATTGTACGATTCCGAACTTTCACGAGACTGTGTTTATGAATCATTGTCAAATAGTGGTGACATGAAATCTCGGAAACAATACGCGAAATCGCGCATGCACAGAACGGAAAATTTGGCGAGGCATTAAGTAATCCGCATGCGCAGAACGATTGATTTCAATACTTCCGCTAAGCGCTTCGAGTGCAGCGTCAAACGCGGGCCGGTAATCTAACACGCGAGAACTGACCAATGAAATCTGAGAAGTAGAAATACCGGTAGACGCTGTTGCTTGATTGACAATGTCAATCACAGTTGACAATGTCAATCAAGAAAAAGAGGAGCTTGATGATATCGTTCTCTTCCAGTAAATTCCGATGTCAAATAACGACGTTATTTGGACGGAAAAACGATGGTTTGAAAATGTCCTAATAACGTCGTTTTTCCGTCCAATGACCATATACGGAAAAAACGACGTTTTCGTGTTTGCAGTGTTACTTCTTTTTTTTCTTGGAAACCACATTGAATATTTGTAATAAGATAATTGGTTTCCAAATACCGAACTTATCTATTGTTTTCCATTCGTTCCATGGTTTTGCAAACGCAACTGGTTACAGATATATGGCGGTAATTTAAAGCATCTGTATGATCTTGGTGTGGGGACTACAATGGCATTTTGCCACGAGGAAGTAAATTCCCTGACATGCATATGTGGTCAAATATACATATAAAACTGTCTCAATACATGATTCAAGGCAAATGCTTCAGTAACTGATGGTGGATATTATCATCACCCGCTGCAGTAAGAGCAGTATGACGCTCATGTAATGGAAATACTTATAATACATTATAATCTTCACTGTTATTAAATTCTCTCTTTTCTTTTCCCGTTGTTTCTGATATCTCTTAAACTCAGGGACATAATTTGATGATGAAGAATGTTTGGATGGAGTTTCGCTTAAGTTTATTTGCAATGTCAGATTTATCAGTTATCAATTTCTCAAAGTCTTCAAGATGGGATACGGACGATTTTTAACCTTTGCCTTTTATTTTTTATGTTCCATACCTTGGACATAGATCTGCGTGAATTAATTTTGGAGACATAGTTTCTCCAAGATTGGCGCTCATTTGTTCATAATCACGTCGTGCCTTGGCAATAATAACTGTAACATTATCAAAGTTATGAACTGTAGGATGTTTGCGGGAAATATTTTCCCGCCTTCTTCCTACACTTTCTTGCTTGTTTACAGTCGTTATTACACCATGGTTTACAAATATTTTTAGAGGACTTAGGAATTATTTGGTCAGCAATATTATATAGTTGACCCGAAAACAACTAGATGGAATCTGGTAAATATCTGAACTTGTCAGATTTTAGCTTTTCAGCACATAATATACTCAACAACAAAATTTCCTGTGACACCAATATTTTAGTGTATATTTCAAACAAGTAAAATTTGGTTTTCAATATCGTAGTACATGTATGGAATCAAGTCACAAAAACGCAACTGCTACAGAAAAGCATGCATTCCATGCAAAAGTTGACTTTTATGCAAGCCCCATGCATTTCACTACCCAAAAAGGGGTATAAAAACATGTGCGTTAACGGGAATCCATATACATTGTTTAGCATCGTGCTGACAACAACCACTCAGAAAAACAACAAAATTACGCAATTATTCAACATTTCGAAATGCCACGCCTGTCCGAAAATAAGCGTCTTCGAGCCATTGGTATTCTTGAAGCAGGATCGAGTCAACGTTATGCTGCAAGACAATTAAACGTCCACAGAAACGCCATTTGGTGTTTATGGCAACGTTGGCAACAGACGAATGCAGTCAGAGACCATCCTCGGAGTGGCAGGCCACGCGTAACCAATAATCGACAAGACAACTGAATTCGAACAACACACCCACGAAATCGATTCCAGCCAGCAACAGTGACGGCAAGAAGCATCCCTGGCCTTCAACGAATATCTTCAAAAACCGTCGTCGCCTCAGATGTGCAGGGATTGTCGCCAGAAGACCCGCCAGACGTCCCATTTTGACAGGAAACCACAGTCAAGCACGTCTACAGTGGTGCAGATAGCGTCTACGCTGGACGGCCATGCATTGGGGACAGATTCTATTCACCGACGAGTCTCGTTTTCACCTCAGCCACAGCGATGGACGGATTCGAGTGTACCGACGTCGAGGTGAATGTTACGTCAATCATTGTGTCAGGGAAGAAGATCGGTTCGGGGGCGGCAGCGTTATGGTATGGGGTGGAATTACAGCAAGACAGAGCACCCGTTTGATAGTGGTAGAGGGAAATCTTAATGGACAGCGCTACCGCGACGAGATCATAGGCTCTGTTGTTCTACCGTTTTTGCGTCGTCATGGCTCAAGCATTACCTTCCAACATGACAACGCCCGGCCTCATATTGCTCAACTTGTTCAGGATTCTCTTCAACAAAACAACGTGAATGTCATCCATTCGCCGGCTCGCTCCCCTGATCTCTCACCAATCGAGCACATGTGGGATGAGATGGATCGGCGCCTTCGACGTCAACCACGTATTCCACAGACACTCCAGGAACTTTGAAACATGCTCCAGCAGATATGGACAGATATCCCACAGGACTTTGTAGGACGCCTGGTCCATTCCATGAGACGAAGATGTGTTGCTTGCATCGCAACCAGAGGTGGACACACACGCTATTGATTTGTAAATTGACATTTTGGCATGTTCATGTTTTTTATTATTTTCTGAAGTCAGTATGGCAAATTAAACCATTTGAACATTTACAGGAGTCTTTTATCTGTTGCAAACCGAAATTGTTTCAGATTTGGTAAAAAACTTTGCATAAAAACTTATTCAATGACACAGGAACTTTTGTTGTTCAGCATACATACATAGTATGACCTTGTTCAAATGTAAGTTAATCTGAAACCTATTTGAACCATACAGTTCAAAACAACGCTTATCTTGCCAGATGTTTTCAATGTGCACTGTTTTCCATTTCAGCTGTTATCTACAGCGAGACCTGCAGGGATCAGAACGACTGTAATCACGTGACATGTGACAGTTCCTTAAAGTTGGGCTGCTCTCATGGAGAATGTACCTGCCTGACTTGCGCCACTGCTGGTTCCTGCGCTCAAGGTATGATAAAGTTTAGACATAGTGTTTACGATAAGTGACATGTTTTCTCATAGCTGCTTAGGTAACTAAACATGATTCTCGTCTTATTTTTGCTCGAGATGCCAAGTGCATGTTTAAGTGAAATATCACAATGCATAATAAAGAAACAGATTTGAAGCATATGTACAGCTCTCAATACCCTTTAAATCTGTGATCAATTGTTACACAAAGAAGCACCGCCTCCTTGGTCTAGTGGCAGAGCGTTTGCACGGAGGGCGAAGGTCTTCAGCATAGGTTGATCGGGACATATTCTACTCCATACTGGTGTATAAATTCACGATGTATAATTGACGGTATTATTGTATAAAGGGGCATCCAGCAATATTCTAGCATTATATATCACGATCGGATGTAAATAATCGATTGTGGACCAGACAATGGTGATTGACATCACAAGAATCGATCCACGGAATATTGGGACATGCAGTCAGCCAAGTCACTGAGCCTGACCTCCCGATCCATTTAATCACCTCTTATGACACGCATATGTTTCTGGGACCTATGTGTTTATCTGGAATCTCCACGCGTCAGATTGCCTCTGTTAATAAAAGAGAGGAAGGCAATGGTGCTTATCCTTGGTGCAATAGCTATTCTTTTCTACTGTGATCTATATTGATTGGAGAATAAAGTGTGTGATCAACTGCGAAAATTCTGGACCAAATGTATCACAAATGTCAACACATGACGTAACATCCGAACAGGATTAATATGAAAAGATCACTTATAAAGATAATTATAAAATAATTAATTCATTAGATATTTTAAACATGATTCTGATATACAGGGCTGGTCAAAAAGTGTAAAACCTGACAAACAAAACCAACAATTATGAAATAGTTTTTTTATAACATACACTTTTCATATCAGGCAATTTCATATGTCAGGAAGAAGTTTTCTGAAGCCACCCTAAAAAACCATTCACGGCAGGTCTTCGTTGTCGTCATAGCGCTTTCCACAAAAGTGTTGTTTCAGTTGAGGAAACAGGTAGAAATCACTTGGTGCCAGGTCTGGCGAGTATGGAGGGTGAGGAAGCTCTTCGAACCCGCATTGTCTCAAAGTCGAGAGGTGTAAAAAGAGGCATTCTCATGAAGTAGTAGAACTCCAGCAGTCAGCATTCCCGCCGCTTTTCTTTGATAGAATGTCTCAGGTAATGGCGCAAATCAGCATAGTGGACACCGGTAATCTTCTTTGACCTTCTTAGTAATCAAACAAGGATCACACCCTTTGCATCGCAGAATACAGTGGCCATAACTTTCTTAACTGATCTTGAAGACTTGAATTTCTTTGGTGCCGGAGAAGTGGAATAGTGCCATTCCATGGATTGACGTTTTGACTCGGGATCATAGTGGTAGACAATGTTTCATCACCCGATACTTATATCTTTTGGAATTTGACGAATTCCTTTTCAATTAGCTCTAAATATTTTCTGGCAATGTCAGTCTCTTTAGAATTTATAAACTTTGGCATCCAACGAGCAGATATCTTCTTCATCTGTAAATGTTCATAAATAATAGGTCCAATGGATCCATGGCTTAGACCTGTGTCTTCCTCAAGTTCAGCAAAGGTAATACGTCTATCTGACAGTATAAGTTTGTCTATCTCCTTGATTGAATCATCATTGATGGAAATTGAGGGACGTCCAGATTTAGGGTCATCATCAAGGCTTCTTCTCCCAGCCTTAAACATAGCTGCCCAACGTTTAACAGTGTAATGACGAGGGCACTTATCGCCATACGCTTGTGATGTGCGGTCATGAATATTTTGGAGAGTTCTTTTATCTATATCAAAACCTTGATGACTGCTGGAGCTCGTTCTTTTCCATTTCTGTGTCCATTTGGACCTATATCACGTTCAATTGGCTGTCACTTTTATACAAACGGCCTCAACAGACCATGTTCACTTGCAATGAACAACTCAAACAATGTACTACATTGACTAGTTCACTTTCTATAGGCCCACAGTTAAAACTGTGTCAGGTTTAGAACTTTTTGACCAGCCTTCGTATATGAAAATGATTTATAGCCACTTTGAAAATTAGATGACAAATGAGAACACCCGATATTGAGAACTTTATTGATGAAACACTTCATTCTTGATCATCTAAACGTTTTAGTTCAGGGCATTTTGTCAAAAATGAAAGCAAATGTCATCTGAAGTTAACTGGGAACAACAATATGTGAATGCTGGATTTCATGACAGATAACATCTTTGTGAAATGTGGGGATAAGATATTATGGCATAAAGTAGGCATCCCCACATCTACCAATTGTGCTCTTCCCCTCATTGTTGATTTGTTTCTCTATGAGCTTTTGCAGAATTCCTGCTCGGCTTAGCAACATTAAAACCAATTTAACCAAGAAGATTAACATATGCTTCAGGAATATCGAAGATCTGATACAATTCAATAATGGTCAAAGAGCCACATCCCTTCCTCTGATTTTCCCACCCGTACTACAAATAAAAGGTACCAGTCTAATCTGTTTCATATGTAGACCCAAAGTGACCCAAAACTATCCTTCAAGACTGTATGACAAGAGGGATCCAATAGTCAACTTTCCCTTTCTGTCGAGCAATATTCTATCAACTCAAGCCCATGTCTACATTTCACAAATTTTGAGATCAAGCATGTTCTCTCTATGACGCATTTTAAAGAGAGTCATATTGCACTTACTGAAAAGTTGTTTTATCGGGGTTACAACATTCAAGGCCTAAGCAAAGCTTTGAAAAGGTGTTATAGTAGAGAGCATTTCCAATCTTGATGCATCAGTGACAAATAGTGACGCAAAAGGCAATTCCATATCTGGACTTGTGTCATATGTTTCCGTTTTTTTAGATGATCAATTGACTTGCCTTTGTATGGGATATGTGACGGGTGCCACCGGTGGTAAAGGATACGCTCAACTTTTCGCGAACAGCGGATATCATCACTTTTTGATGGTGATTCAAAGACACATGCTCATGATAAAGTCGGAATCGTACAATCATACTTCTTTAGTCTAATATTTGTTCATAATTTATATATTGCCAATCTTGTCTTTATGTCTTCCGTGTTCTAGTCACACATTTGTTTCCATTTCAGTGGAGGAAAATAACATTCATCTAATACTTACCGCCGCTTTTTGTAAACTATAAAGAAGAACCATACATTGTGATTGATTTGTGTTTCCCGAAACCACCGGGTTTTAAAGAAATATAATAGGTTTGGAGTAGGTTAAATGTGGAAAATGTCTGACAAGTATGGCATCATGATATATGCGAGTGGGATAGCTACTGTTTGGTGATCAAATTTAATTCTTAGTGTTGTTTCTACTAAGATGGGTTTTTGATAATAAGAGCTCACCTGGAAAGATATTCACCAGATTATACTATCAGCAAAGACAGAAACTTAAAACAAGTTGCTGTATGCATCGACATTCAAATATTTTGAATTATTTTCTGCATTAATAGCCAGGAAATAAAAACGTCAACGCTAGAGAATAATCACTCTCGATTATCCCACTAAACAGATACCACTGGGTGTAAAAAGCAAACTAGTGGAATATTTTAATAAAAATGGATCACTGAAATCATGGATGACACCAGGTGTTCGCGAAAAGGACAAGCCAGTCCTGCCCTATCAGAAGCATCCGCCACAATTTGCAAAAAGGTATGTATTTGTTGCCTGACACTCCACAGCCATTCCCCTGTCATGCAATGCGTCATGTAAACAAACCAGACTATCAAGTGAAGGTCAGAAATCCAGTCACACGATAGAGCATTTACTGATTTTGTTGAAACCAAAAAAAATATTTTAATATATTGTTAAAAAGATTCTTGAATAAAATTCAAAAACAGGAAGCAACAATTTCATGTACGCTCTGACATGGACTGTAATATATTATTAATGTTATTATACGCCAAGGAGTGTCATGTACAACATATTGGACAAACAGAGTGCTTGAGAGACAGAATAGGCGTCCATAAACAGATAAAGGACCCCATGCAAGGTTCATCCCCTTAAGCGCTCGACAAATGCGCAGCAGGAAAAGAAATAGAATTTAAGATATACCCTTTCTGTAAAATGAATACTGCTGATGCCCAGCAGTGTAAAGATAAAAAACTGTTTTCATTAAAAGGTTGTGCCCATCTTTAAATAAGTAGCGCATGGAATATGAACTATATTTGTATTTATTGTGAAAGTTACCACTGTCATTGTAAAGACGCAGTCTTATAACTATAATCACTTCTCCCTGAAGATACAATTGAAAGTGAGGTGAAATGGGCTTTAACGTCGCGTCCAAGATTGCACTTATATAGCGAGGGGGGTGTACGTGTGTGTGTTTGTGTGGCTGCTTGTACTAGTCCGGACTGATGCCGATTTATAGTGCTAGCTCACTGAGATACCATGCCGCAGTTTAACATGAATACCCAACTCAGACTCAGTATACTGACGCCGAGCCGACAAGTCCTTGTTTTAGCCCCTTAATGCCGAGCGCCAGACAGGGTAACAAAAAGTACCATCTTTTAACGTCTTTTGGTATGACGCGGCCGGGGATCGAACCCCGGACCTTCCGCTCTCCGGGCGTACGCTCTACGACTAGAGCACGGAGGCGGTCAGATACAATTGAAACATGTAGAACGATTCGTGTCATTATTGCGTGACTTTCTTTTTATATATATTTCTTATATATAAAATCGTGTTGTCTATATATTTGTAGGATCATGAACATGACTAGATAGCTATCGTGGGTCATTAGATCCCCACAAATGAACCTGTTATCTACATTTCATGACATAACCGCGCACGGGAACATACGCCCTGCGTGCACCTGCTGTGCGCAGAATCACAACATCGTGACTGGCTGACAGGGTTGGTGTTGGTGTCATTTGAAACAGAAAGTATATAAGAGGATCAACCGAATGAAGACTTTACTTTGAAAGCTTTTCGCTTAACTCCAGACATGAAAGTAACACTGGTTCTCGTCATTGTCAGCACTATTATTGGTGAGTTGAAGATACTAACGGCTTTAATAGTTTAGTTAGTGTCTACGTTAGCCGATGAGATTTGTTATGTGCATGTATTTTTTATAATGATAATAGTTCATATTATTCATAGATAATATTATTAATTTGCAATGCGCCTTTTTCCATGCTGGATATCAATGCGTTCTATTATGACTCCGGGAAATGAATCCGTGTGCACTACATTTCAGCTCCCTGGGCAATATATAATCTGATCTGCGTATGATGCACTAGAACACTAATAGTCTCATAACCACCTCACCGAAAGGGGAACCCAATCACTGTTGAGTGAACAGAGGCATGTTTCGAACAAAGGCACTTGCCGTTGGAAAACACCACATGTACTACTTGGGCTACAGTGTTGGGCAGGTCCAAGAAACTCTTAGAAAACAAGGCTGCCAAACATGTTCAGCCATCCAATTGCTTTCTTCCACAAACGGTGCTTAAAGCCTTGACCTGTGACCTCCAAACAGGATCGCGTGCCCCAACTTCTAATGAGATATTGTTTCTTACGTTCAGCTGTGATCGACAGCGAACCCTGCAGGGTTGACAACGACTGCATTCACACCTTATGTGATAGTACCGGAAGGCTTGCCTGCTCTCATGACATATGTACCTGTCTGGTTGCAGCCAATAGCTGCATCACAGGTAAGTCGGTTTACAAAATAGTGACCATAATAACTGCAGGCAACATATTTCATTATGTGAACGTTTTATTTAGGCATCTGGAGAGGTTCTCCTACAAGAAAAGGTGGTGACTATAAGTCAATAAACAAATTGGGTTTTATGCCGTTGATATTATTTTTTAGACAAATGTAGAAGGAACGACAAATATGATACAGAACTAAGATGATTACCATTTTGTTGAAACCATTGGCAATACAAAAAACCCAATCATGGCGAATCTGTGATTCAAACCCACTACTAACGTAGCGACAGCAAAACCCTGGCACAAAACTGCAAATAAGACATGCCCTTTAAATACAAGCCTGCATCAAATGAATGATGGAATCTAGTTCAAACCTCTGACAAATGTTTTTGTCCTGTGTTGTTAAGAAGGAGGTTTATATTTCAGAAACTTGCAGAGACCGCCCTGACTGCGACAGCTGCATCTGTAGAGACACACATGACGAACGCCATTGCTTCGACGGCCACTGCCTTTGTGGACGTGGTGCACAGGTCGGCCCTGGTGGACCTGGCGTGTAAGTAACAATAGTTACAGCCGGAGGTTGTGAGGCATAGTTTTGGTTGCTACACTTGAATCAGTTTGACGTTTCATTGACTTTTTAATTACTGTCGAAAGAAATTTGAAGAATTTGTTTGCTTTTTATGCTTGTTTGGTTTTATGTCAGGGGCAAATGTCTAAATTTAGCCTGAATGTGATTTGGGACGTCAACGCTTTGAGGGTGTTGGTTCAGAATGTTGGTGAAACACAATATTAGGAATATGATTTTAGTCGTGCATATGTTGGTAAAACATACATAGTCGTCTTTGTATGGCATGCATATTTGTCTCATCTCATTTCAGTGGTAATACTTAAATCATTCGACATATAGTAACACTATATCAGTCCTGTTTGTTTGTTTGTTGTTTAACGCCGCACTCAGCAATAGTCCAGCTATACGACGGCGGTTTGGATATATGGTAAATAATGTAAATGTAAAACGTCGACGTTTAGGAATCAGTGTCGATCATCTACCTAAACAGATTTCATTGGGCGTAAAAGGCAAAATTGCCATGAAAATTATATGAATGGATCACTGAAAATCAATGATGACACCAGGGGTTGTTCCGCAAAGCGATTGCCATCCACATCCATATTATAGTTCTTACTCCAATTCAATTTCTTACTAAATATTCAAGTATGAAAATGCCACTTTTCATCTACCTTTTTAATTTCAGAGGTAAATAAATCCTGAAAGGAGGAAAACCCATGGAAATTATTCCTACCTTGTTGGATACACACATGTACACATGTGAAATAAACCTACTACTACCAATTACTGGTTTGTTTTGATGCTGAATACTCTTATTGAATTGATGCTTTACCTGCTTATACCTATGGAGAACATCCTGTGGTTATTCCGTGTTTCTAGCCTATCCTCGTCAGATCAAGATACAATGTTTGGATCTGGATTGGCTAGATTTACGTGACGTCGCTTTTCATACAGTCGCGACTCTCAAAGGGACGACATGAATTGGGTGGACAGGCCCGGTGGATTAGTTGATTGATCAACCGATGATCTGTCTGCTTCATACTCGACACATGCCCCAATGGTGTAAGTAAACCTTCGATTGGTAGGTTGGTTTGTTGTTTAACACCGCACTCAGCATTATACCAGGTGTATGACGACGGTCTGTAAATAATCGAGTCTGGACCAGACAATCCAGTGATTAACATCATGAGCATCGATCCACGCATTTGGGATCGATGACCTGCATCAAGACAGCAGGCCTGACCAACCGATCCCGTTAGTCGCCTTTTACGACAAGCATAGTCACCTTTTTACGGCAAGCATGGTTTGCTGAAGACCCCGGAATCTTCACGGGACTGAAAACCTAAGTGACAACATTGCTGGGATACAAAAGATCGATTTCATAAACCTTGGCGTTTCGAAAATATTGTAAATAAAAGCGACAGAGGACATTTCCTTAATCAGTGGAAATCTCTATTTAAAGTTTTCAACTAAATCATAAAGATGTGTTTACGAGTAAAGTATAGTGCAGCCGTTTCGTGAAAAATTGTGGACTTTGTGGTGAAAACATGAAACTTAGTACAGTTGTAGGTGATGACATTCCAAATAGTTAAAGATATGGGGCCACCCAAAAAATCCAACATGGCCGCCTTAGAGTGAGTGAGTGAGTGAGTTGGGTTTAACGCCGCTTTTAACATTATTCCAGTTATATCACGGCGTGTCAGCTTAATGTGGGAGGAAAGCCCGAAGTGATGCAGGTCTCAGACGTCTTCCACTTCTGTGAAACCCACGAGCACGGGTATGGTGCTGACACACCTAGAAACATAATCGGGGCGAACCGGGATTCGAATCCAAAATCATAGGTTTCAGGCGTGCCAAAGGGAAGCAACTCTGCACAGCGAATCGCGGCCCCTTAGACGACTGGGCCACCCATGCCCCCTCACTGTGACTATGGCTTCAAACAACATTCTCCACTCCGTCTGGAATATGCATAGTAGAAGTAACCCAGTGAATCAGAGAGACTTCAATAACTCGAAGTCGAACACACATCGAGTTACGCGTAGCACCGAGGGTGAGTGAGTGAGTGAGTGAGTGAGTGAGTGAGTGAGTTTAACGTTGTAACGGCATTATCACAGCAAAAAAAATGCAGTTTCCGGTATCCGGATACCTGCCGGATACCACCGGACACTTACCCAAAACGCGTCCGGGTATCCGGTGGCAGATACCTTGCCGGATACCAGATCTGTGGTATCCGGCATGGACACCTCACCGGAAAGTATATCACCTGGAATCCGGGTATCCGGCACCGGATACCTCACCGGATACCTCAATCTGGGTGTCCAGGGATCCGGCACCGGATACCTCATTCTGAGTTTCCAAAAACATGTCACAATTTGGGGGGTGCATTTTGTTCAATTAAGTGTGAAACACCTAAAAATATATTGGAAACTAACCATGAAAATTGAACATTGCTGAAGGTATCCGGCAGGTATCCGGCAGGTATCCGGAAGCAATTTTTTGAGATGTCTTTCTCCTAGTAAATAATGTTAGCCTGGGCATAGCAGATAGCTGTAGTAATATTCTGTGCTATTTTAGTTGTAAATATCCCCTTGAAGTTGAGATCTATGGGCATGTACTTTTGGTGAAAACATTTTTCAAGTTCATATATATTTCAATTTAGATGTTCAGCGTATTAAATGAAAAGCATTCAGTCCTGGTATGATGGTATCCTTACATATCATCTTCATATTCCCAGTTTGTTTTAGCCTAGTGGTTGAAGCATTCGATTCACCACATCGGTACATTGCTTGGTGTCACCCATCATAATATTGTTTGAATTTTGCTCATAAAGTGGCATAACACCATACTCACTCTGACAAAAAAATGAAAGTCATTGGCTATGTGCTCACTTGGGCCTTTGTTCCTGGTGAGATTAAAAGTTTATTTTGGAACTGTATCAATACTTGTTACATCTTGACAGACGAGTTTCATTGAAGTTCGAAACAGAATATCATTAACCCAAATGGGTGCATAAGACTAATGGCATCCACAGAAAACACCCAATAAAGTACTGGTACATAAAAATATCAATGTAACTTTTCTACTGACATGGAACTAAAAACTTCGTTCAGTGAACTGTATTAATTGTAGGAAAACATTCAGGGC